GGAAAATTTAAGGGGTAGTTATATAATAATTTTGGACGATCTCGGGCGGTCGGATACTTATGACCGCTACTGTAATTCTTAACAAGTATAAATGTTACAAAAGATAATCGTTACCATAATTAAGCTCTCTTCTCATATCTAACCATTTTTCGCTGAAAAGTAATATTCCTCATACCAAATTTATCCTAAAGGATTATATTTTTCATTTTTATATCTAAAAACTTTATATCATCAGAAATACCATCATTTCTCATTGTCTCCCAAACTCGTTTTGCCAAAAATTCAGATCTTTTCTTATAATTCCTATAAGCTTGCTAAATAACTATTACATAAAAATTCTCAAACTGATAGTTATATTGTCTCGCAATCAAGAATCCCCAAGATTTCTTCATTGATCTTCCTGAAATAATACTTCATTAAAAATTAGAGAATCTAACCCAGAATAGGCAAATCAGATTTTTATTTCATAGGTGATACATTTTACAGGAAATTATCCATAAAAGTTATATAGCAAAAAAATAATATATAAATATAGTTGAGATAAATACTATAGTTAAAACATTTCTCTTAATCAGTCAGTAAAACTGGTTAAACAATTATAACTTTATCCCATCTCTTAATCTTAATATAGAATCTTTTATAGATGATAGGGTCTTAAAGGGATCTAGTAAGTTATTTTGTTTTGCATACTGAAATGAGATAAATATTTTGCTTGTGTTGCTTTTAGATTCTAATGATTGATAAGAAGTTAGTAAAATCATTTTTTGTCTAGCAGGTGAAATATAAGCTGACTCAAAATTTGAAATACTTGGCATAGTATTTTCTGCTATAGTTGCTTTAACCTGCACATAAGCTTCATAGAGAATTGTACAAGTATCATAATTATATAATATCAATACCAATTTATCCTTTTCTGAGTATGAGATAAATAGGAAGAAAAGCTTTAAACAAAGACAATTAATTTTAGCCTTTTTTTATAATATGTATTGTTTATATTGCCAAATCTGAAATTTCCTTCTATCAATAGATTTGAAAATTTCATTTCTTCTTACATATTCATTCAAAATAGTATTTCTGAAAATACATTTTTTCAAGTAGTTATCTCGATATGGATCAACTTTATGACCATTTTCAGGTATGAAAACTAAGAAATCACATATACTATAATATATGTAATTTGATGGAAGACTATGGACTTTATCATGTTCATATAAATTTTTATACATTATAATATATCCATTCTTAAAAAAAATTCTTGGTTCTCTTCAAGTATTTTTCTAAATGAACTACAGATACAGAAGCATCACATTTCTGATGTTTCATGATTATATCGTTTATCTAAAAGACATAATGCTTCTAATATTCTTCTATATTTTTTGAAGTTTACATCACTATAGCTTACAGAAACTAGCTTATATTAGGCTCTACTATCTATCTATAATAGTATTTTAGTAGATTATAACAGATTATAACGATTTTAAAGTATTTTATTGATTTTAGTAATTTTGGTATGTTATATTGATTCTTTATTAACCTATACTAGACAATATCACCATTCAAATTTATACAGATTTACTGGTTAAAAGATTTATAACAATTTCACTATTTTTTATCGATTTATAATAATTTATAACAGTTTGTAACAACTATATTATAATAAAATATCAGATTTATTATCAATATTTATATTTTGGGCTAAACTAATTTTATATTTACATACATATATATAGTGCCTGGCTAAATCAGTTTGTGACATGACATATATCATATCACATATATTATCCTAGATCTGTGCTAATTCCTCAATAGTTCTAGGAGAGTAGGCGAGTTTCTATAAATCACGAGATGATTGGCCAATCAGATTATTTCATTATATTCATTCAAAAAAAAGTTATCAGGACAAGCTATTAGGATAGGCTATCTCCTACAGATTAAAGGAGTTTTTTTTATTTACATACATGTTAAATAATTTACAAAGTATTGTATATCAATTTTGCAGATGTAGTTAAAAAAGGATACTATGCTAACCCAAACTAATACTTTTTATTTATATATAATAACTTAAAAATAAAAAATCTGGACACATATGCCTGGACGCAATAATGTGATGTAGTAAATGAATTATTAATTTGCTTTCAAGACACCAGCTATTATATGATAAACATTATTATCAGATAAATTTAATATAAATCTAATAGGAAAAGTTCTAATTTATGCTATTTTCGATTTATCAATACTATTAAAAAGCTTATAAACCTTCTTGACCCTTTCTATTCTCTTTTGTAAAGCTTCATCAGAAAGCTCTGTTACAGAGATTTATTTTCTAACTTTATTTTTAATGAGAACTTCAGCTTTATACTTACTATGACTGGATTTTAATTTCTTATATCATAAGTGTAAAGTCTCTCTGAAGTCAAAATATCGATTGATGATATTCTATATTGCATCTTTATTTTTTTCTTCAGCTTGGTCTATCATACTAGATAGATGAAAAAAATTATCAGAATTTAGTGAAGCATCTATCGCATTTTATTCTCCCAAATTTTCATTATTAGAATTATCAGTTAATAACTCTTCAATAAGTTTTTTCAGCATAGAAAAAACTCCTTTCTTATTAAATATCTTCTGCTTCTTACTTAACAATTTTTCAGTAATAGATTTACTAGTTTATTTTTTCTGCACTAAAAACTGTTCTACTGGAAACTTTTTCAAATCTTCAGTTGAGTAAGTAAGATACTTTTTGCATAGATTGTCAATGCAATCATAATACATAGTATGTTTACAGAACAAAAAAATGGTATCTTTAAGGAAATCTGTGGTAATTTCTTTAGAAAATTTTACACATGCTAAACGAAATACTGTATTTTGTTTTGATGTATTCTCGATATTCTTCATTAGATCTTCTGGTATTGCTGGTGAAGTTAAGATAAACTTTTCACTTATCAAATTAGTTATGGCTGACGTTCCACTTGATTGGAATGATTGTGAATCTCTCCTAGCAGAGGTAGAGACTGGATATATGATATCAACTTTCTTTCCATAATCAGGGAATGGATACATACCTGGTCTTGATAACTATAAGCTTTTTCTTGATACACAACTTATGAAATAGATGCTTACATGAGAGTATAGTGAATGCTTTAAGAGGAAGTATCAAAATATCATTTGTACATTCAGAATATGACCCTAAATTTAAAATTTCTTTATCACTAACCATTTCATCTTCAAGATACTTCAAGATATTATAAGCAAGGTTTCTATGATTAGTAAGAGATAGACAGGATCTCTCTAAGATCTAAAAAGATTCTGGAGCTTTAGTTGATTTTAAGCTCGATATATTGAGACTTTTCTCTCAATTAGAATTAAAAAATATACTAATCTTATTTTATAGCACTATTAAAATTTTGCAGGAGAAAACATTCTCTAGATTTTTACTAGCAATTACACACTGCATTTCATCACTCTACAAATCAATAAAATGATAAAGAATTAGCATACATATCCCCAAATCTTATATGCAAAATAATGATTGCTGAAAAAAATATCCATACCCGAATATTATTTTGTTAATATAATAATAATGTGGCTGGAGACATGATATGTAAAAATAAATGTAAATCAAGTCGAAAAAAATAATGGAATATAATAATTATTATATACTAATCTTATATTACACAGCCCCTATTTTTTAGTAAGAGTTTTTTCAGATATATCATACTTCGTATTTCAGTCTCAGACCACTTCAAAAAGTATTCTAGTGACAAATTTTCAGATAATATCTTTAGAATCAGTATATTCAAAAGCATTCATTTACGAAACAAGTATACACATTTTTTTTATTTCTGATGTATTCATTACACGTATTATAATAGATACAAATATAAATCTAGCTTAATTATATTATATAAAATGGAAATTTTTAATATTGTGAATTAATTTTGAAACCTAAAAAATTAAAATTGTAATTGACAAGGTCGATATCAATCTTGAATCTTTGAAACTATTTTTTTAAAGCTTAGTGTTGCAAGAGTACTATACCTGCTTGATTCTTTTTTTTTTGGTAGACATAATGTAATTGGACTAAAGATGGCATCTCAATTAGTTGCAACAGGTGACAAATAAGTATTACAATGTTGTAACAAATTGCAATGTTATTAAAATTTAAGTTGTAACAAGTAATAAATAAGCATCACAATATTGCAACGCTATCTTTAAATTAGACTAATATGCATTGGAAATAATAAGAAGCGTATTAAAACTAGTGAGAAAAGCAGAACTTGTTCAAGTGACATAGGTACATTAACATAATCAACTTCTACTATAATATATAAGATATCACACAAAAGTGTGGTGAGATAGAATATGATATAATGGCCTAAAGTACAGAATAATTATTCAGTGATGTGTAATCTGAACAAAAAGTTACTATTGGAAATTTACCAACAATTTGAAATCCAAGCATACAATTTATGTTATAAATGTCAAACACATCTTTGTTAAATACAACTATCCAGATGAGATCAGTGTAAAGGAGGTAAAGGTTATTCATTTCTTCTTGAACCTTTACTTAACTATATCCTTTGCTCAAACTTTAAGACAGCTGGTCAACCTTATTGATGATAGCATCTGGTTGTTTTTCTCTGCCTACTGCTTTTCTAGTCTTTGACTCTATAGCCTCTTTATTTGACCTGTAATATTCCTATTGATTAGAAAATGTATACATAAAAATATATTAAGTTTAAGAGCTTATTATCACAGAAATATATCATGATCAGGATCTATAAAAAGTGGGCTAAGAATTATGTCAATATAAGTGATGCACAATTTTACCTCTCCAACAGGCTTTTTAGTATGACTCTTAGAATTCTTTCAATACTAGTAATTAGAAATAAAAGGCATATTTAGATATCAGATACTGTAAAATCCCTTACTCTATAATTCGTTACAATCTTACATGTTTTTTATGGCCTTCAAAATTGTGCGTTCTCCATAAGAACAGCCAACTGAAATAATTTGCAGTTCTAAAACTGCATTGTCTCTTGTAATTTCTTTTTTTGTTGACACTGTGACAAGAACAGGTGTATAAAATTTTTTTCATATCAAATAAATGTAGAGAAGATATTATACCTTAACAATACGAATAAGCTTTATAAATATTTCATTATCAAATCTTGTTTCTTGCTTGATAAGTCTTTGTAAGATATCATTGTGCATCATTTCTAATCATACATCACTAAAAACCTCTGTTATTAACGGACAATATTATTTGGACTTTAATAAAAGAATATATGATAAAGACTTAAACAGTTAAGATAATTATAATTAGTTTTCGCAGTAACCTAGTAATGAAAAACTAAGAGTATACAATATCTGCTGTATGTGATTTTCCACAAAAACACTAGTTGAAATAGTCCAAATCAGCTAAAAATTAGATAGCTGATTTTAGGTCGATTTTGATACTATTTATAGCTGATTTGTCATATTTTCTGATTGACACAAACAGGTACTGATAGACGCTAATCGATCCAATCGGATATGGCTATTCAGAACTTAAATTTAACCATAAATCAGCCTAAAACTGGCCTCAATTTGGCAATAATTCAGATATCGATTGACACTGATTGACTCCAATCAAACATAGCCATTCAGATTAAATTTAACCATAAATTAGCCTAAATTGATCTTAATTCAGCATCATTCAGCATTAATTCGAAACTTAAATAATATAAATCAGCTTAAAATTGACCTCAATACAGTATCATTTAGCATCAATTCAGAACTTA